ATATGTGATTGATTTGGTATATAAACGATTGCGTGCTCCTGCTCTACTCCTACATCTCTCATCATCACTCTCATCTTCAGCCTCAAGCTTCACTCACAAAGCCTTAATCAACAAACTCTTCCACCCTCACCTTACCCTCACCACCTTCTACACAAAATGTACAACAAGCTTACCATTGCCTTGGCCATGGCCTCGGCTGTCTCTGCAGCTCCCGCCCTCGCGCCTCGCCAGGACCCTTGCCAGGACGCCTACAAGGCTTGCATCGCCGCTGGAACACCAGAGGTCGCTTGCTCTTGCACCCTCACTGCTTGTCTCGGTGAGGACAACGCTCGCAACCGCGAGTACTGTGCTACAGCTACTGCCAACCTGCCCAAGCCCACTTCCACCGGCATCCCCGGCGGCTGCAACCCGGCCCACCCCGGCTCGTGCCCCTCGTCTTACTTCACTTACCCCACCGCCTCGGCCAGTGCGGCGCCGTCCTTCACTTCCATCCCGGGCATCCCCGGAGGTTGCAACCCGGCCCACCCCGGCTCCTGCCCCTCCTCCTACTTTACCTACCCTACTGCTTCGGCCAGCGCGGCGCCAACCTTCACGTCGATCCCGGGTATCCCCGGCGGCTGCAACCCGGCTCATCCTGGCTCTTGCCCCTCTTCCTACTTCACCTATCCCACCGTCTCTGCCACTGCTGCTCCTGCTCCCACCGGCGGCAGCTCTTCTGGCTACACCGATCCCAAGCCTGTTGAGGGCAAGACCTGGACGATCAAGGACCTGACCCGCTACTGCGGCGAGGACAACTCCGGCTGCGACTACAACTTCAAGATCGAGGCTGACGGCGTCACCGAGGCCTGCACCGTCATCCGCATGCCTGGCTCCAACGCTGCCACTGAGAGCTGGTCCAACCAGCCCTGCACCTCCGGCTCCAAGTACCAGATCTCTTGGGGCTACGTTGCCGAGCCCGCCCCTGCCTTCGCTGTCCTCAGCGTCGTCGACGGCAAGGAGATTGCCTGGTTTGGCGTCTCCAACGTCAACGGCCAGCCGGTCACCACCGCTCCCTCCAACCCCTTTGGCTCTGGCCAGTTCGGCAACCTTGGCCCTGAGCAGGTTTACACCTACTAAGCCGTTGCCCTGAAAATAGTTGCATTTCACCACGATCATTACCATGAAGAACGAATCGACGAATCATAGACATGTCACTCCTTAATCTAATGTTTAAGCATATGCATCATATTACAATAGAATTACTATAGATAGATAAAATTCGATGAGCTTGACTTGAGTCGAGCATATTAATTGTTTAAACGTCACATATTGCTGTCATGAGATGTAATCAGATTAGGTTTTGTGTGTCCTGGGCGAGGGGCTCTGAGGCCCACGCTAGGGATTTGGTGTAACATGCTCACTGCCCCACGAAAAAATGTCCACCTGATTCTGTAACGCGGGCACCTTTCCCCTCAGAATACTGAGCGAAGAGGATGAAACGGCGGGGGAAGTAACTTTGATATATTGCTGTAACGTATAGTTGTCTCCTGGTATGATACACGCCCGCGACAAAAGTTCGTGATCCAAATTGTAAACGAATCTTCCTTTCCACCGCCACGGATACCCAGTCACAAGTGCTCTTAATAGCGAATCAAGACACAGTGAGCCCTATGACGTTTAAGGGAACGCCGCTTGCATATTGAGATTCTGCCCGCTTTGTGACATTCATTTTCTGAATTAAGCCCAACTGACGTTGATCCCGTTTGAGCCCTACAGCCTTGGCGGTGGACCAGACATCGCGAGAATTCTATATGATCCCCCTGGAAAGCGCCGAATTGGTCTTGCTCTTCATCATTTTGTTCCCTGTGTTATCTTCGTTAACCAGGAAAATTTCATTTACAGCGCAGCACAAGCTCAGCAAAGTTTCAATGGCTAATACGTCCGGAAACAACACGAATCTGCTCAAGGATGAGAAAGACCGTTCACATGTCCCTGCCTTCCCGTTGTGGTTATCAGGTATTAGAATAATACAATTCGTAGGTGCTAACTTCACTTCACATTCGAGTGATAGGACGAGCTTGTACCAGATCCATTCAATGAGACCCCTCGCTAATATGCCGCAGATACAGTCAACAGTGTTATTACTGTGGACTGCTTGGGATCTCGTTAGCAGATATGTAAAAGGTCATGAAGTGCCGTGCGATTTCCGTAAGTTCCAAGCCCCTCAGTTTGCGTCGAGATGTATCTTCATGATATTTTTGAGCACCTGGGTATTTCTGTGTTTTCCAGTCTATCGCATCCCGTCACAACCTGATGTTCGCTAATTGTTGCAAAGTCTTTTCATTATTTGCATTTGCTTGGACTTCATCAAGTCTAGCATGGCTCGGTGTCGCCGTTCATCTTCGTCCACGCATGTACAATTGCTGGATACACGGGTAAATGGCGCACTGCACACGATATGGAGAGACGTCTGCTAACCAAACTTCACAGTGGCCTTGAAATCATCACAGTTAGGTGCTATACAGTTGGTGTCCTCAGCTTCGTAGATTCACTGCGAAGCGTTTGACACCGACAGGACCTTTCCAGGCGACTGTGACATTCTGGGGATGTTCAGCATTGCGTTATGAGACACGATTATGTTTTGAGGTTCGAGGAGCTACAATAGAGTACGGCCACTTTCTTTTTAGGAGGAAGGATCAAAGGCCACTTTTCTTTTGTATGGAACTCAAAGTTATGGAATAAAGATACACAATCTCCCTCCATCTGCGACACATGATGATTGATCTTGCCACCTTCTGTTTCTGAAATAATTTTCAAAAACCTCTGATATACAGGCAATGTTCTTTCTCTGGACGAAGGAAAGTGTCCCAGACAAAGGATCGACTTTCAATCAAGCCGTTCAATACCCTATCATTCTCGTTTTAAATTTGAAGGTATGCTTTGGTACAGTAGTTTGCTGCCTTATAGCACAAATGCTACAAAATCTAATTAAATGCAGAGGCCTCAAAACATTGTTGATTGGTTGTGCGAATCACAGAAAACAGAAATCTGACAGGTGCAAGCCAAGAAAATGGCTGAAGATGCCAAGATTTCAGAACGTCATTTGTGTGATGCGATCAAGACGCCTAGCTTAGGCAGCTGAGACCAACCTGCTCAAAACATATGCAGGTGTATGGCGAAGCAGCCTTTGCGCCCAATGACGGCCACGATTGCATGGGGTCTTTCTGCCTTGCGCAGCAATGAAGATCGCGTTGCCACACTGCATGCATTCCATAGGATGATGTGCGGTGGCTGAACATCCATTTTCCTCATAAAGCAGGCTGATATTGGTATTTTGCGGCATGCTCATCCTTGGCGTCTCCAATTCCAAGTTACTTCCTCCTTCTCGTTCTTCCTTTCTGCCTTTTTTCATCGCCACCCACTGGAGTTCTTCGACTGAGATTTCAGCCTTTCGACTTCAAACTTCCAACAGACGTCACACGAATTCGCGTCCCGAATAAGCTCGAATTTGGAGAGCACGATTTCTTATATTTACAGCGATGGCTTTACTAACAAGAGATGCCTGGCCTAAAGATGGGAAGAAACGTTTCCACGTTCCCAGAATGCCAGTTTGGGTGGCAGGTCTCAGGATAGCACAAATTGTGAGTGGCACTAAAACCTTTTGTCATCCGACAGACTTAGGAAACGGGTTGATCTGCAAGATGAAGTTTAATGCTAAAAGTTTGGCTGCGTTCAATCATAGGTTCTTTCGACTGTAGTAGTAGCGTTGACTGCCTGGGGACTCATCACTATGCAAAAAACAACAGGTTCGCAAAGGATAACAGTAGGTGTCATTCCAAACTACTCCTAACCTGGGTCTTTCCTCATCCCAATGGTCAAAATCAGTCATATTTGCTGACAGTATTCTCTCATGTCCATAGTCCTTCAGCGGCGCTGAAGGCTTCCGTACGTTTCCCAGTCGCACCGTGCTTTCTCTTTAGCCTTCAGTCGTCATTGACCAATAAAGCAGCTCTCTCTTGGTTTGCCTTTGCTTGGACTTTGACGTACATAACGTGGCTTGGGGTCGCAGTGACCTTCATTCCCACCATGTACAACAGCTGGGTACATCTGTACGACTCAATCAGTATGGAAGATAATTGAGGATGGTCTGTTAATTCAGTGACTTTTCAGTGGCCTGGAAATCTTTTCCGTCATCATATGGCTGGTTTGTCTCGCTCTCTTCGCCAGCCACGCAGACAATCTCGCCTCCATCGACGCATTCGCCTCAACATTCGGCCCCCAATACGAGGCGTTGTTCAACCTGAATATCAAGCAATATTCCCAAAGCTTTATTACCGCAACAATCGCAGCAACAGCTGTCACGGCGGTCATATTCGTGCTATTCTTAATCAGCGCTTTTGCATTTAGTGCGTTGCTATATCTTATTGATGAAAGGTGTCAGCTGAAGCTAATCATGCTAGGCCGCGAGCTGTATCGCCATCGGCGAGGAAAAGTCAGAGCAACGGACGAAACCACTGGACTGGAATCTGCGGATCGTCGGAAATCATCAAATCCAAGCGCTCCTGACGATGACGAACTGGGACATCGCCAGCAGGTCCCAGAGCTGCAAGCGTGTGAAGTTTTAGAGACACAGGCGCCTGATCCGCGTTATCATACCGCAGAATTGGAGGATTCGAGGCGAAGAGTAGAGTTGGAGTGACAGCGTGGCCTGTAGCTGATACAGGTAGCATGACTTCAGACTACGATAACGTAGAGGGCGTAATCTATGGTGGCCATCTCCATTGCCGGAACAATGCCCTCGATGGTAGTAGTATTGAACACAGACAACACCCAGTGAGAATTAGATAACTCAAGCGAAATTTGAAAAGCCTCTAAACAGTCATTGAAGGTCAAATAGCCGCGTTGCGTTGGAATGAAACACCACGAAGAGCTTGAGAAGTGGGTTACTACATCTAAGGTGGGATTCACCTCTCGATATCTTCACAGCAAAGGGATCAGGTCAAACACAGCTAGATACGTGTTCAAAATATAGCGATAGCACCAGGCGGGCTTCCTATTCCACCTTTCAAGTGCAAAGGTGCACTGGTCAGAAAGAAGGACCATCTTTCGTGTTCCTCGCATAGTTCCGCCAACGTCTCAAGATCCCACAACTCTCCGAGAGGCGTTCCCCACCAAACAAGCGCAAACTCGTGGATTACAAACGGAGTCCCTGCTGGCGGTGGCCAAGCTTCAAAAGAAACAGTGTCACCTGCCAGCGCAGCGAAGTGCTTGTTGTACAGCCACCGTACCGTCTCTTCGGTAGATGCAATGCCGATGGCAGGACCCCCGAACTTCATCCCTTTGCGACGCTCTTCTTCAGAAGACTCATTGTACCTCTTGATGTAGCCAGTGCGCATGATCAAGATGTCTCCGGGTCGGCATTCTGTACCTTGCTCGGCAAGAGCCGCCTGGATATCGTTGACCCCGATCGGGCTTGTAGACCAGGCGTCTGGAAGTTTTCCATCGCGCCTTTGGTAGTATCGAACCTTAGAACGCATTATGTTAGTACCCATTCTTCTATTCGAACGCTCGCTCGCGATCTTTTCTAGCCTCACATACCATGTCAACCAATATACCACGGCCTGTAATGCCTCCGGCCTGACACCAGGTATGTATTCCATTGGTATGTGTCTTCTTTGCTTGTTCGTATGTCAGACCTCCGTAGAAGACCTGGCTCTTTTGATGGGCGAACTATGAGCCGCGTGAGATCTTGCTATTCGTATGGCCTTGTCGTGTACCTACGTGTTTCAGGCTATCCCATTGCGAGCTGCCCTGGGTGTTGATGTGTATCTCATCATCCAAGACGAAGGCATTAATGTCTGGATTCTCAGAGGCATCCAGTATTGTGTGCTGTAGTTCTCTTCGACCGAAGCCTGGAGACTTGAATGAATCCAGAGGCCAATCAAGTTGAACCCGGCGACCGGTTTGAATCTCGCAGGCGGCTTCTTTCACGACACGAGGCGTCAGAAGATTCAAAGCTAGAGTTTTTTAGCAGGCGCCAAAACCACCCTCTACCAGACATTCTTACAGCCAAGCTCATCCTTCTTGCTATTCCTGTCATAAAAGCCCCAAAGACATCCTTGAGGCGCACCTGGAACTACAGGAAGTTCATCAAACGCTGGGAAATGGTGTTCCATATTAGCACAGAACTGCAATCGCGGCTTAAGACGAGTAACTTTGATCGTTTACCCGGGTGAATAATTGAGGCTTGGCGCGAAGATGCGAACCGTAACATTCATATACTAAATCAAATAACCAGATTTCGGGTAAAGATTTCCCCAATAGTGCAACCACCCACCACATGCAGCGATGATTGTCTCGATGCGTGTACTTGCATGAAACCCCGCCCTGAGAACCACTTGATGACGATGACGATGTCGATGTCATAAGATCGCCCGTGCAGCTGTTTCTTTTGGCTCGCAGATGTTCACAAATTGCATTAGGAACAATTGTGTATTTGAAGCCAGTCGGCTTATTCGCTATTCCGTAGACTTGGATTAGCCTTGTTATTACTACGACAGCGATTAAGGAGTCGAAGGTTATTGTGTGCTGTTTTGCGACATGAGGCTTTCGAAATTGAGGGCTCTTCTTTAGCATCCTTCTCTGCCGGGTTAAAGGCGAGTATTAACACTGCGCACTACGCCTTTAAACGCGCATCCGGGGCCCTTCAGTATGAGCATCTTAAATAGCACTAATGCAAGCCATCTGCTGTGGAGAATCGTGGCACCTAACAAAGCCCTATTAAGTAGCTCTGAGCTGTTGTTTCCCACGCTAATCGGGTAAAACTCTGCGTTGTGCAACAACCGCACTACCAACTTCATGTCACGATGACCTCTTGGGTTCGCTTGGGGCTACGATCAGGCTTTCTGCAGATGATGACTCATCCAATTAAGAGTCAAGGTTGCGTGCAACCTGCAGGTCCTGTGACACTAATTAAACGTTGGTTCGTGCCATCATCCTACTTCTTCCCCGCACAGGAAGATGGTCTGATCCGTGCTCCTCGCCGAGTCTCTCTCTCATTCAACATACGGCGACTTTCCGTCAAGCAATGCTCGCCGAAATCATTGGACGGCCGCTTTGCACAAAACAATCTCTCATCTCGGACTTTAAGAAACTTGGAATCGTCGAAGGCGAAACACTCCTGCTCCATTCGTCCCTTAGCCGCCTGGGCTGGGTGAACGGCGGCGCCGAAACGGTCATCTCTGCTCTCCTCGAAGTCTTGGGAGATGAGGGGGCGCTGGTAGTACCGACCTACACGGGGGATAACACCGATCCCGCGGAATGGAGGTCTCCACGCGCGCCCCGGGAGTTGTGGCAAACGATCCGGGACACGATGCCCCCGTATGATCCGCGAATCACCCGGACTCGGGGGATGGGAGCAATTCCAGAAATGCTGAGGAATTGGCCCGGAGCCATGAGAAGTGCCCATCCGCAGACCTCGTTTGCTGCTGTTGGACCCAAGGCAGACAGAATCACTGCCGGACACGCGCTCGATTGTCGCTTAGGGGAGAACAGCCCGCTCGCCAAGTTGGAGCAACTTGATGCTCGCATCTTACTGTTGGGCACCGGATTCGATACTTGCACGGCATTTCATTTGGCAGAATACCGTAATGGGGCTCCGCTGGAGAGCAACTCATTTGCTGCGATAGTGGAGGGCTCCCGGCAATGGGTGACGGTCAGAGACGTCACTCTTAACGATGATGACTTTGGAGTCGTTGGGAAAGGTCTAGAAAGAACTGGGATTGTGAAGAAGGGACTCGTTGGTGGTGCATATTGTGGGATATTTCCGTTACGAGAGGCAGTGAGCTTTGCGACAGACTGGATGAGAACCAATCGGTAAAGACTGCTATATAGAATGTGTCGATGGGAAATTCGTAACACGTGCCATACATAAACTCTGGAGAATACCTACAAAAGACGTGGCACAATGAATTTCGACCCCATGGATCTGTATTGCACACACGGTCAATCGCAGCCCATCGAAACGTCGTGGTTGGTCTGTACTGAAGGGCGTAATGACATGTTCAAGGGCGTGACGACTGGTCGTTAAAACCGGATAGCCGGTTCGGATCACCTCGATATGCCGGCCGGACTTTGTGGACTTCGTCGGGTGAGATTAATAAGCCTCGGAGACGACTTCCGAGCAGATTAAAAGCATTGAAAACGATGCATTTGCAAGAAGGGCATATGGCTTCAAATTTCAGCATCATGAACGGCGATATTGACGCAGCGCCCAGTGAATTGCGGTCTCTGGGTAAGTCTAGCTAAGAACCGAGCATGATAGAAAGCAACGTATCTCAGTTGACACCCCCAGGCCTGTTGGAACGATACTCGGCAGTCAGAAGCCATCTCGGAATCTACAACAACGTCTGCGTCACTGCAGTCTATAAATGCTCCTACAATGGAGATCTTCTGCAGGCTCTATGGCGAGCTGTTGGCGACGTCGTTGCGCAGCACCCGATCTTGAGAGCGACGCCTGTCGACATCGATACCAAAGAGCCTCGGTTCATCTCTCTGAAAATTACCGAACCCGAGCAAGTCATTCAGCTGAGAAAACCTCAAACAGCCGTCACCGGCCCTCAATTTGAAGCTGAACTGCAAATGACGCTTGAAAAGCAACACAATACGCCATTCGAGCACGGCGCGACCCCGCAACCCTTCTGGAGATTAGAGGTTCTGGATGACCGGACCAGCTCTGGAAGTTTCGTGGCTTGTCTATGCTTTCATCACTCTTTGATGGACACCAAGAGCGCCCTGATCTTTCACGAAGACCTCGAGAAAGCTCTAGATCAGTCGTTGACAACAACCCGTTCTGTAGATGTACTGCTTCCGCCACTGGAAGCCGTCTATGATCTACCGGTTTCGGAAGCCTTCGTCCAGCAGGCATCAAAGTACATCGAGCCATCAGCCAGAGTCTGGAGCGGCGCACTGCAGCAAGTTCCAGTGGGAACCCGTGTCGGATTGTTTTGGGTCTCGGAAAAAACTGCCGACAGCTTCAGAAAGCACTGCAAGGGAGAGAAAGCATCTGTAACGGCTGTTATCATGGCCCTCCTAGCAACAGCATTCTTCAAAGTTCTTCCCGACGACTACGATACGTTGCAGGGTGACTGTGCTGTATCCCTGCGCCACCTGCTGCCGGACCCCATCGATGATAGATCCCTAGGTTGTTATGTTGGATCTTTCAGCGAACAGTATTCCCGGAGCGCGGATCCGGCGTCAATGTGGTCCGACGCTAGACGGACAAAAGCGACGATTGATGAGGTTGCGAGAAACCGTGGAGCGGATATGCCTGTTGGATATCTACGTTGCGTCGCCCATGACATGCCGGGATGGTTGTCCGGAAAGCTAGGGAAGAAGCGGGCCGCTGCGTGGGAGCTAAGCAATGTTGGGGTTGTCGGCTCCGCTGGAAGAGTGGCCAAGACTGGGTTCAAAATGGAGCGGATGCTGTTCAGTCAAAGTGCCAGTGCAACCTCTGGGGCTGTCAAGGTGAGCGTTGTGACGGGGATAGACGGGCAACTCGGCTTTGCTTTCTCGTGGCAGGAGGGCATTGTGGAGGAGCGTTTGGCTGAAGAGGTGGTCTCTACGTTTAGAGAGTCGTTACTAGACTTAGCGTCTGAGGGCGGACGCTGAGAAGACTAGATTCGATACTATGTCCATTGCATTTACTGTACCAGCCAATCATCGCTCAAGGTAGGAGCAGCAATTTGGAAGTTAGCCGGCGCCACAGCCGGCTAGACGTCGACTATCATTTCAACGAACCGGGCCGGTTCTTCAAGACAGATTCCCGGTCCGACGCAGCACAATGAACTCTTCAGCTGACTCATGCGGACACGGATGTCATCACTCGCTGTCAAACCGGGAGCCAGGTGGTTGGTTGAGGCATTCTTATATATGCTATGTTCAAAATATGTCCAAAGAATATCCGGCATCAAATTATGTACACCAGTTCAAAGACCGAAGAACTTCATGTCATCGTCACCCCGAATGGGCACAGTATGTCCAACACCAACAGCCCAGACACCGGTAAGGTGGTCGCCAAAGACATCTGTGCGGTAGTTTGCGATGGGCGTGTTCGCGGATGAGGTGACGGGCTTGTCAGGGTTGTAGCCAAAGACGCCGGACCACTGCTTGATAGTCTCCTGGTAGTTCTTGGCGTTGAGCGTGGTGTCGACGCTGCCGTGGTAGATCTGCATGCGGGGGCGGGACCCGGTGTAGCCGGGGTAGGCGTCGGTGACCCATTTAGCCCAGGCGGCGGGCGTGGCAATGGAGTTACCTTGGGAACAGGTGCTGTTCCAGCCGTTGACGGTGCCAGTGTAGAAGCAGCCGGCCGGGACGCCGTTGTAGACGATGCCGGCAGCGAAGACATCGGGGTAGGTGGCGGCGAGGACGTTCTAAGTAGGTTAGCAAATAACGACACTATTGACAGGTTGCGGTCAACTTACGGTCATCATGGCACCGGATGAAGAGCCAGTAACGAAGACCTTGGACTTGTTGCCGTTGTACTTGTTGAGAGTGTACGAAACCATGTTCGCAATGGAGTTGCTGTTAGCTCCGCCATTGTGAGTGAGGGTCGCCTTGGACGAGACATCCCAACAAGTTCCCGAGTAGGGCGACTCGGGGTAGATAACGATGAAGCCCTTGGAGTCGGCGAGAGTCTTGTAAGGGCTGTTGTTGTAGTAAGCCTGAGCAGTGCCGGTGCAGTAGTGAATAGCGACGACAACGGCAGGGTTCGTGGCAACTTTGTCCGGGACGTAGATGTACATCTTGACGCCGCTGGGGTTGGAGCCGAAGTCGGTGACCTGCTGCAGCGAAGCAGCGCTGGCGGCGCTGGCCAGGCCGAAGAAGGAAAGAATGTTACTGAACTTCATGGCTGATTTGATTGGATCCCAAACTGCTTGACAAAATGCTGATCGTCCAGTTCCCACTTGTCAAACTCGACTTGGCTTCTGGGTATTTATGGTCCCGGGAGGATCAAAAACGAAGCTGAGCAGATGATCGCCTCGTTGTGCCGCACCATGCAACTTTTGTAGACTTCCCTTCAGCCGCTCATAGACGACGTCAGGGGTTGCAAGTCGTTTGTGTAAAACCCGATCATCTCGGTCCCCCACATCCAGGGTCGTCTTGGAAAGGGGGGCAACCACCAAAAGAGTCGAATTGGGTAGGGGAATAAGAATTTAGCCGGAAGAATTGGCCACTCAGCGGCCTCTTCGTCCGAAGAGAGCAACCCGCAGGAACGGGTTCATCTGGAAAAAAAGCTTCTTCGGCACTTGCGGAAGCCTCCGAACAGAACCTGGTAAGGTCTCAACTTTAGATGCCGAGAGCCGCTGCTTAGCGTGGCTGCATGGTTCCTTTTGCGAGAGAGATTCCGGGGGTTGCCTTGCACTTTTGCGGTGGTTGCGCATTGCCGATCTTGCTAGATAATCTGGCTGTGCCAATTTGCCGGCAACACCAGCCACGGAACATGCCCCCGTGCTTGGCGCATTGAACCGGGAATCCCAGGCCAAAACAGTGAGTTATGGGGAGCAATTGAGATGTGTGGCAAAACCTAGGTTGAAGCTTGAGCCACGGGGTTGATGCTTATAATTCCCCCAATCCCAACGCTTCGTTGACGTGACAATAATTTGGATAAGGGTATAATCGAGTGCTGGCACTATATCTCCGCGATTTGTCGCGATGCCGATCATCCGAGGTATCCAGAGTCGGAGCTGTATACCATGCGAACACCCTTTCAGCCGCCTGCCTACAATGTGCAATCGTCAACCACACGGCGACACAACTCCCGAGGGCTTTCGCTAGCCGATTCTACGATTCCATGTGTCCAACTTGTTGGTGTCTAGGAGGCGATCGGTCGTTCAGGGAGCGGGCGGCATCCAGAACACGGGAGCGCCCTCGAAATTCGAAAACGTGGCGAAGGCCTGCCGATTCATCAGCACATGGATTTTAGAATGCGCGAAGGTAGCGGTATACCGAAGAGTCTAGATCTAACCAGTCCGTAGTCTCCCAGCCTGCCAGAAAGTTCGTCATGCCTTCGAAGCCCTGTGTCTGGAACACCGCGCCCATGTCGCCTGATTGTGCCACGCCAAGTCCCGAAGGGTCGTCAACTTGCATCGGATCCGCTGCCTGTCCACTCTCAGCCTGTTCAGAGGTCACGCCTTGTTCTGGGCCCCGTTGTCTGGCTTCAGGCCCCTTGGCCTCTTCTCGCAACTCCTCCAAGATGACGCTGTACCGCCTGCTCGGGCTGTCGGACGTCGTAGCTTTTGCCAGGTGGTTTTGGCATCGGTCCGCGAGCTCGAAGAGACCTTTGTCCTCATCGTCTCCTACCCTTTGTATCTTCCAAACATAAACCACAGCAAGAGCGCAAAAGGTGACGTAGGGCGTCCACCAAAACGCATGGAACAGAGTTCCGTCGCTGGCCATTGCGTCGACGGTTTCGAGCGCGGTCTTGGCGGCGTTGATACACTCTTCTACACTATCGTCGAGTGCAGATGGCTGACTGTCGCCTCGCGAGGTCGTTGTGCCGAGCAGGAAAGGACGGTTGGCGTGCATGATGGCGTGACAGTATGCCAGCTTCAGCGCGGTGTTTTGTCGCCTAAAGGATGGAATCAAAGACATCGGGCGGACGGTGCCAAGGTGATGCGGCAGAGATTCGCGCCACTCGTGAAGAGCGCGTCCGTATCGGTGAGCGGCCAAGAGACGATCGTGTTTCGGCATGGGCTTGATCGAGTACACCTCGCGCGAAATCCCGTCAATCAGCTGGGCAAGCTTTGCATGGAAGATGAGCGATTCAACGTGGCAGTCCATCTTGGGCTCGTCGCTCGATCTGCCCTGGGGAGTCATGTCTTCGTCGTTGACGCAGTCAGGAAAGTCTTGGTCAATGTCTTCGTCATGGTACATTCTGGGACGACCAAACACGACTGCAAGGTACTTGTCAATGGTGTAGGCCACCCAGAAGGTCCTTTTCCGACATTGCGACGTAATGTAGTCGACTGGAGGGGCTTGGCCGTTGCTGGCTCTCTTGCGACTTGCTTTGCGATGCAGACCCAACGCCGACACAATAGGCAGTACACTGCCAAAAGTGTACCAAGCCTGATTCATGCGTGACGTTTGCAACAGGTACAAAGTCTGTAGCAGCCGCGCCTGGGCGGATTCAAGCTTTGGAAGGCCTGTTTCCTGGTCCGTTAAGCCCGTGGCTCGGCAGAAGTAGGAATCGCTGCGTCGTAATTCGGAAGCCTCGTCTGGTGATGGCTCGGTGCCCCTTACCTTGATTTTGCGCAGAGTGACGATGGCAAGGATGGTCAGGACAATTGACGCTTTGGCGTGGCCAATGTCACGGTGTAACGGCACATTGTCTAGGGCATTTGTTAATAGGACATTAAACCATTCAACCACGTAGCCCTGGTGAAGACAGCGGTAGGTCACCACGCAGACGTCAAAATAGAAGCGCATCATTTCCAGGCCGACTGATCGCTCGGGGAGAGGATGGCTCTCGTGAGTTGCTGATGCAAAGGGCTTGTCGCCTGCCCTTGTCATGGTTTGGTGCTGTTCGTTTGTACTAGAAACTTGGGGAACAACGCCACCAGCCAGTCTCTGGGATGACAACCGTTTCCATGCGCGGTGGAGGAAGGTTAGGCTTGACGTGGTGTCGAAGTACTGCCCCTCGATCTCGGCGATCTCTACCTCTGGCGATGCCCTCGATACTGGCTGGAGGACGCTCTCCTCGACGGCTGGCGAAGATTCAAGGGTAACGGGCTGCTGCGAAGGCCTTGCTCGAGGCGTACTGGTAGCGACAGGACTGTAGTCTGTGAGCCTTTTTTGCGCAGTGCGTGTGCGCACAAGCAAGAGGAGCACTTACAACTGCGCCTGGTAGGATGCTGGCACTAACCTGGCGTCGGTCGTTGGGGTCGCAACTTCGACTCCAGCTGACGGAGCCGGCGGCGGGGTCGGGGGTCTCCCGCGACGATAGCTCGCATCGTAGATGCAGGCGAGACGTTTCTTGGTGCAGACGTCGCAGGGGATGGTGCCGGAACACTTCAGCTTTTTGGCCTTGCAGTAGTCGCATGCGCGGCTGACTTTGTGGCTCCGTCGGCGGTTTGCGGCGGAAGCAACGGCGGAAGAGGGTAGAACTGGAGACACGGACGGACCCGACTCCGACTCTTCGCGGAGGTAATGGCCGGAGGAGGGTCTTTCGGGTAGTGGGCGCGACCTCCGGGAGGATTCCGACGGCTCGGGGGAGGGGCCCGTACTTGGACGACCTTCAGGCAGGGTGCGCTTCTTGCGGGATGATTCCGGGGGTTCAGACAGGGTCGGGCCGTCGTCAGGACGTCCCTCTGGCAGTGGGCGCTTTCTCCGGGATGGCTCCGAGGCCTGGGATTCCGACTTGCCGTCGTCGTCCGCGGGTCTACTTTCGGGGAGTGGGCGTTTCTTCCGCGGAGGTGGCTCCGTTGGGGTGCCGCTCGAGGGCGACGGCTGAGAGACGTTGGACGACGGAGTGGGTGCGGTGCTGATGGATCCAGCTGGTTCTCGGGTACGGGCGTCGGGGGGCGCGGTGGATGGTGTTTGCTGTGTTGTTGGTGTAGGCGGATCGGGGTTGTCTGCCATGATACTCTGGACGGTCATGGAAATCCGACCCT